CTCCGCCTTCAATTTCGTCAACGATTTCTCTCCTTCCACCATCACGATCTTCTCCTCCGAAATCGCGTACAGTGAAGGTTTCCAATTCGCCACAGCCGAAGCCTGCCGGAACACGGAAGAAGATCCCACCCTCCCCCGCTTCCTTCTTCTGTTCCTTCGTACCTCCGCCTCTGAAGACCTCAGCGACCTCTCCTCCTTCTCAATTGTCACCGTCGCCTCTCGGCTCCTACAATCTTCGGAAAGTGAAACCGGTCGGCCGCACCATGATACGAATTCCAACAAAAACTTCATAGATTTACGAATTCCAGTCTCAATTTGATCCTCCTACAAACAGAAAAGGATGAAGCAGAGGGAGAGTGAGCGGGATCGGAAGGCGGCGGAGATCAGTAGCAGTGACGTTGGCGTTTCATTTTCCCTCTCTCTGAGAAAAGTTGATTTTCTTTGCCGTGAAAGTTATGCTGTTCAGCGTGTGTTCTTATAGGCTCCATCCACGGGCAAAAGCCTACTTTAATCCCTCATCTTATCAAGTTTGAAGGTTTTAGTCTCTTATTTTATATTATAACATTTTTAACCTTTCACCTTACTAAATTTGTATCACCTTATATTATGACATTTTTAGTCCTTCACCTATTAAAATTTTAAAAAATAACTCTCATTTTATAACATTTTGTTAATTCTATTAACTAATTGTTAAATCTATTAAGAGACTGTTAATTGATTGTCAACTGTCAAAAATCTTTTTTGAACTAACAGAGTTAACAAAATTAACTTTATAATATTTCGTTAATTTTGTTAATTGATTATTAGTTCACTGCTAGTTGATAAAAATTATTAGTTCAATGAAGTTTAGCCAGGAAAGATCATCTCGCAACTAAAGAAATTTGACATAATGTACCAAAATTTTTAAAAAATAATAATAATAAAAAACTAGACAAAAGATTCAATTTTTTTATTAACCTCTTAATATCTAAAAATTATATTGAATTTTAATTAATTTAAAATTAAACTGCATTATATCTCAAAAAAAAAATTTTAATACGTACTTCTCCATTTACAAAATTTAAATTTAAAATCTCATTTATAAAAAATTAAGTTAATTTCACTTAAACTAATATATTGTTAGTACATAACATTCAAATTTCAAAACAAGAAAATATCTTAAATAATTGCTGACTGTCACGATTTTTTTAACTAACCTGAAGTCTTTTTTACTCGTAACCATCATACACTCTAAATATGCAAAGGGATTTTCTATCTCTGCTCTTAGAACATAGATTAAATTTATTTTTATATATATAATATAAAAATTGATATTAATTTTAGTATTAATGAATTTAATTAAATGATTAATAAATTAAAAATTAAATTTTATTTTTTTAATATAAATTTATGATAAAAAATATATATTTAATACATTCTTAAAGTATAAATTAAACAAATCCATAAATAATTTCGAACTTAAAACTTCTCCGAGGATGAACTCCTTTGGCACACGGAATTCAATCCATTTGGTAAAAGTGCATGATCACCCAGTCTCAAGTATTGAGTTCTACTCCACATCCCCAACAATTGGAAATTTGTAATTGATGAAACAAAAAAGAAAAAAAAAATAAAACTCCTTTTATTATGGAACCTATTTAATATAACGATTAAAATTCAATGAATAACAAGTTATGGATAGTGGATAATAGATGACAATTGGCAGATAGTGGATAACAAGTAGCACATAGTGAACAAAAGTTAATAGATAGTAAATAGTGGATCATAGATAATGGATTCAATTAATATAACTATTTGGTTATATAATAATTAATAATGGTTGTTCAAAGTACAATGAATAATAAGGATATGTTTGAAAACAATTAAACATATTTTTTTATTTTTGTATTTTCTTATTATTAAAATTATTAATTTTAATAGTGTAGTCATATATTAATTTTTATTTTTAATAAATAAAAAATTATATTAATTTTAAATAAAGTGAAAAAAATAATTTTTTTGTTTAATTAGTAAATTTTGTTTATTAAGTTAATATATTTTTTATGAAAAAAGTGTTATACATTTCAAAGTGTATTAAATTATACAATTATAATCATTACATGAGAATGAATTTTTTAATATTGAAGGTTTCACTCTCATTTAATAATTTTTGTTTTATAATTTTGAAATAAATAAATGTACAAAATATTTATTTTTAACAAGTTGCATAAAATTGCTTATCATTACCCTTGGACCAGAATCCACTTACTCGAATCAATTTGGCTGACTTTATTTCATGGACAGTCTACACATGCTATGTGATGAAGCACACATGGACAGTCTCCCCAACTTAATCATATATAAATTAATTTCAATTTCTGATGTGAATATGTGATGAAGCACACATGTTATATGGTATACACTTTCATGGCATCCTCATGCTTCATGGTGCCTCATGCGTATAAGGCTATATGCACAATTTTGGTAAAGCACCCCGATCGTGTTCATTCGGCAATGGCCAATGGATGTGCGCTTAGCAACCTTAATTAAATACTTCTAGGGCAAGAA